GTGTGTGTGTGTGTGTGTGTGTGTGTGTGTGTGCGCGCGCGCGCGTGCGTGTGTGCCCGAGTGTACACCTGTGTGTGTCACTGAGCACACGTGGAGGTCAGAGGACAACTTGCAGGAGTTGGCTGTCTCCTTCCACTCTGGGGACTGGGGATGGAGCACATGTCGTCAGGTGGGGTAGCAAGCACCTTTATCCACTGAGTCAGCTTACTGGCCCTAGGTAAAAGTTTTGTGTTGTAATATATAGTAACATATAGTAAATATTTACTCTCTGAAACAATGAAAAACAGTTTGAAATTAAGCTTTTACAGTGGCCTGAATGTGAGTTGTTAGAATTATATACTATAATATTTACTCTATTTATATAAAACAGATAAGCAATCCAAGGCACGGTTAAGAAAGGTGGAAGCGTAGAGACCTGGTGTCTTGGGATTGGCAGGGGAAAGCCACAACCCCTGGTGACAGTCTTCTCTACCACTCGGAACAGAAAGTACTATCCTTCTGTCAGAGCTTGAGATCTTCTAGGGTTCCTCTGGACCCTACTCTCATAGACAAGTTCTACTGTAGCCAATGGAAAACACATACACTAACAGGCAACAAGCATAGCAAGTACAGCTATAATAGTATAATTTAACATGTCCCTCGCATACTTGACTCATGATGTCTGCACATTTCATGACTTATTGAGTCATTTCCATGTCCTCCTATGAACTAAACTTCGTTTCTTTTCCTTCTTTAAAACATGCAGTTCATACACTTGACAGTTTTGCTGCCATAGTCGATGCACTCTGGACCGATGCACTCGCAGCAGGCGTTATGAAACCAGCGGTACTTGGAGGCTCCCATGGACTCACAGGATATTTTACACTGGTGTATGGACATGCAGTCATCAAAGTAGACCACAGTGCACATGTGCTCTGAAAAACAAAACAATGAAGACTTCAGCACAAGCAACAAGAGCTCTGCCACTCAGCAGTTAATAATACCAGTAGTTATTTTCCTAGTTCTCTCTCTCTCTCTCTCTCTCTCTCTCTCTCTCTCTCTCTCTCTCTCTCTCTCTTTTGGATTTTCGAGACAGGGTTTCTCTGTGGCTTTGGAGGCTGTCCTGGAACTAGCTCTTGCAGACCAGGCTGGTCTCGAACTCACAGAGATCCGCCTGCCTCTGCCTCCCGAGTGCTGGGATTAAAGGCGTGCGCCACCACCGCCCGGCTTTCCTAGTTCTCTTACTGCTGATCAGCACAGGACAAAACTGAGGAAAAAAAGACCTTTGTTTGCTACCTGTGTTGACAGATCTTCACTTCACACACAGAAGACAAAGACACAAAGGTTACATTATCTGGATAGCAACCATCTTCGAAGCAACATGGCTGCTTCCTAAACTGAGGTTTCTCCAAAGACATACTTCTCCAGTCCAGACAAGATTGAAAAATACTGTCCTAAAGTTATACTGAGAATTTGTACTGAAGCAAGTAATCTAAATGACACAAAGGATCAGCACAGGATTGCCACAGGATGGTTTTTAACTCTGCAGTTCTTAATCCCATGTGGCTGTTCAGCTAAGACATAACAAAACAAACCAAAGACAATAGAAATCACCAACAGAGAGTGTATCATCAAAAGTTAAGGCTTTTTTAATTTTGTTTGTTCTCCCGCTCCCCAGGAGGGAGAAACATGCTGTTGCTGCTGTAAGCAGTCTCTTGCTTATGCAGCCAAGACTGGTCAAGAAACTCCTGCTGCTCCTGCTTTGGCCATCTGGTCCTGGGATTACATGCATGTGCCACCTTGTCTGGCTGGGACTAAATTACTTTTTTTAGAGCCACTTAGAACTAATGAATAGAGGGAAGGCCTAGTAGAAAACACTGGGCTTGTGTTGAGGGGAATAAACAGCAAGGCTTCCAGGTACTGAAGGATGAGCCTTAGAGATGAGTAGAGTATCCATGGGAACAGAACAAAGGCCCAGGCACGGTGGCACAAACATGCTATCTTAACACGTGGGGGCTGCAGCAGGAGACCATGAATTCACACAGTGAATTCAAATACACACCAAACTGTGTCAAGAAAGAAAGGGAAACCCAGTGGGATGGTTCAGTGGGTAGAGGACTTGCCATGAAAGCCTCATTTGAGCCCTAGATTCACCCCACAGAGCTTCCCAGACGTGCTGGGGCACAGGGTGTGCCCTTATCATTTATGCACAATAACAATAAACAATTCTTGCTTTTTAGAAATGGGAACGTGGGAAGTAGTGAGGCAGAAAGACTGGCAGTGAGCAAGTCACCAAGTGACTAGAGCCTAATTCATATCATCTAAGTTTGCTCAGTGTGTTACTTACTGAACACCTACCATGGACTAGCCCCTGCAGACTCAAGAGGGATCAGAGTCCAAAGAACTAGGCAGACAGAGTAAACCATCAGTTAAAGACAAACTGGGAGTCGAGGGTCTGTAAATACCACAAGGAAGAAGAGGCACCAAGGAAAAACTTAGCTGTTTTTTGTTTCAAGAAACTGGCTTCCGTCTACCACTGTCATGAATTTATGACCCAAGGCCTACCTATGAAGGTCATCCCATTTCAATAGGAGGGACAGCAGCAGAGCGCTGTCATCGCTTTCTACACATTTCCAATCTTTCCCAAAGCCCAGCATTGATTTATAAAGCAACTCCGTCTGAAAGGAGGCAAGAACGCACACTGTCATTTAACAAAACCGCTTTGCTTTTATCGTTAATGCACAAAATTCCATTTTATATAGGTCAGATTATAATGGAAGGCATATAAATATCCACGTTAACAAAGGAGTTCAAATGAAAGTGTCTGCACATCCCTCATCTACTGCTTTAAGATTCAGCAGCAAGCGAGGTGTGGTGCAAACAGCTATGTCCCAGAGGGAGGATGCTACAGGTTCAAGGCCAGCCTGGTCTACATCTCGGCCCTATCTCAAAAACTAAAACAAAAGCCACATCAATTGTATTTTCATAAATGTCTTATTCTTCTGCTGTAAACTGTATTGAACACATTAAAGACTTTACCATAGTTACAAGCTGTTTATACTCCACAATTAAGATATGGCCTATTCTCACTAGTAAATATCCCTTGCTACGATTCTCAGACGGTGATCAACCATCACGTCCACAGAGAAGAGCATGGGGCACTTTACACCTGGAAGTGGGAGGACCGAAAAACCAATCTGTCCACAACATCTTAATTGATGGGCAGCAAGTAGGTAAAACCCATCCTGTATAAATCCAACCTGATTTAATCCCAGAATCCATAGCTGGGGGGAGGGGACAGGACTGACTCCTCAAAGTTGTCCTATGACCTCCTCAAGTGCAATGGTGTGTGTGCTCACACTCAGAAGCACACTCAGACACAGTAACAAAACAAAATAAACTAGTTGATGACCTTGGCATCATGTGCAAACATTTAACTGATGAGGAACCATGACAGTCACCTGACTACACGCACAGGCGCCATCTCATGAAGAAACGTACAGTCTGACACAGCCTCCATGCTGGTGTGCCTCCCCAGTCACCATCTACTGCAGACTACACACATCCAAACTAGCTGCCCTGACAGATAACCTGGCGTGGGTGTCACGGGCCACACAGTGCATGGGTACCTTTGTCGCTGGGATAAGGCGCGTGGACGTTGTTACTGGGAACAGACACGTTTTGGTGGTGTGGCTGGTTCACAGTTTCTAAAAAGGAAACTAGATTTTCATGGTGGGACAACTCCTCTGCCACAGGGAAGGAGACGATGTTCCAGTTCAGCTGGGTGTCCCCCTCTGTGAGGGCTCTGAACAGGGAAGGGATGGGCTCATGCAGCTCCTCCACCGTGCTCTTTGAAGTAGGAGGCGTGTCGCTGTAATTCCGAGGGTTACACATCCCTGGGGAGACAAAGGAAGAAAAATGTACTTTCCTCACAGATAGTAACACTCAGGGTTTTGCTAATCACCTGGAATGAAGGCTCTGTGTGTTAACACTGTGATTTACAGCATTACAGCTTCGTGTTTTCCAGACTTTTTTTTCCCTGAAAGGACAAAAAACAGTGAGAACCACTCACTGAACAAAGGTTGCAAACTACCCACCCACCAGTCACAGGATTCCGGGATGAGATTCCAGGGCTTTGGTAGCACAGATACACAGTCAGCCAGGAATACACAGGCACTCCGGTGTGTGTGTGTGTGTGTGTGTGTGTTGTGTGTGTGAGAGTGTGTGTGTGAGTGTGTAAGACATGGAAGGAATGTTAACCTTCACTGACTCAATAAACAGTGTGAGCGTGAAAACTGGGCACCAGGGCTCGGGATACAGCTCAGTTGCTAAAATGCTATTCAAGCCCTCAACCCAGTCCCCGCACTGTACAAACAGGTGTGCGTGGCACACCTGCAAGCCCTGGCTGGTGTCTCACCCACAGCCACAAAGCAGAACGAGCAGGACGTGGGACTTCTCCAGAAGTGCCACCTCCTAAAGTCCCCAACAGCACCGTCAGCTGGGGACCAGACATCTAAATACACGAGCAATGGGGATCATTTCACATTCAAGTCATAACACCATGGATGGCTTTGAACTGCCAAGCTTCCTCCCTCTGTCCCTTGTGCTGAGAATACAGGTGTGTGTGACAACAGCTGGTTTACATGCTGCTGGGGAGCAAGCTGAGGGCCTGGTGTACACCGGGTGGACACTCCCTGTGTATCATACCTTAAAAACAAAACTATGCTTCATTTTTTGTTTAGTATCTACTAGGTCTAATACGGAGTTTCATATCTTCCCTGGAGTAAAAGTTTGAAAAGTCAAAATTTTTAAATTCTTAAATTTTACAAATTCAGAAAGGAGAAAACTTATCTCTTCTGTTTTTACATTTTGTTAAGGAATTTGGCAAGAGCTAAGTAGAATAACGTGTTTCTCTCATATAGTTTAAGAGATCTAAACTTCAGAATTAAGCTGTACAGCAGAATCAAGGATGAAATGATCTCATGAGTGAGGCGTCAGACCCGACAGAGACAATGTCTCGTCTCCTATTATACAACCTGGGAACAGCGCCATAGTTATCACTCTCTCGGCTCCCACGCTGCCTGTTCCAACAACCACATGCTAAAGCAAACCAGTGCAGGGAGCAGCAATGCTGCTGCAGACTGCATGGCACACACACGCTTCCTGCGGTAAGTGGAACTAAACCATCGATGAAAGAAAGGCAAATGCCAGAGTTCAAAGGTCAGAATTACAACTCCAGTACTTACTATCAGAAAGGTCATTATAGAAAATTCAGTTTTGTGCATTTAACCAACTTTGGACAAAAAGTCTTGTCAAGGGTTGTCCTTTAAATAGTAATGCATTAAACCAGGACACGGAGAGGGACTGCTGAAGTAAGACAGGGCAGGAACTGCCACTTGGAAACACTATGAAGGGACAGAGTTGGGGTGATAAAGGACGGATTTTATTTTGAAACAAAAAAGAGAAGAAAACAACCAGGACCCACAATGGTGACAAGACAGCTAAAAGGTAGAAACAGAACTGAGACAGGACAATAAGGACATCAGAAGACCTTGGGAGTGGCTGCAGAGAGTGCGATGCAGGCCAGTCGGCACTCAGCACGGGATCATGGAAAGCCAGGCAGCATGCTTCTGCCACAGGTCACAGCTGCCACAGAGAGGACAAGGAGCCTAAAAGTGCACTTCTAAACCCTATCGGGGGGCTGGAGAGATGGCTCAGAGGTTAAGAGCACTGGTTGCTCTTCCAGAGGGCCTGAGTTCGATTCCCAGCAACCACATGGTGGCTCACAACCATCTGTAATGAGATCTGGTGCCCTCTTCTGGCCTGCAGGTATACATGCAGACAGAATACTGCATACATAATAATTAAATAAATAAATAAATAAATAAATAACCAAAAACCTATCAGGGATCTGAACAAGCAGATGAGGGGAAGTCACAGGCTAGTGTGAAAAGCAGCACGCACAAGAGCAGCGGGGGCTTGATGAGACTCCGCTCAGATTGGAGACTTTCAAAAGCTAAAACAAACCCAGCAAATACTGGCAATGAGAATCTCAGTAATGTAAACAAGAATATCAAGGAAAGCATTCTCAACAGACTACTAAATCAAACAAAAGGGCGAGTATTAGGCATGGTGGCCAAGGATGACAAAATCGCATGCATGTCAGGCATCAAAGTATCAAGAGAGAGCATATTGTTTACTGCTCCTGTGAGTGAGTGTGAGTGTGTGTGTGACTGCTCCTGTGAGTGTGTGAGTGAGTGAATGTGAGCGTGTGTGAATATACTCGAGCGTGCACGTGAGCAAATGTGAACATGTGAGTGTGAGCATGTGTGTGTTCTGAGACAGCGTCTCTCATACTGCAGGCTGTCCTTGAACTCACCATGTAGCCTAGGCTGGCCTCACTTTGTGGCCATCCTCCTGTCTCGGTCTCCCACGCGCTGGGATCACAGCACATGCCACCAAGGTCAGTTGGAATGACCATGAGAGTAAAGGCTGTTAAGTCCAGGAAACTCATCTTTTAAAGTGAAGAAGTAAAAGAAAAACCATCTACGGTAAGGACTTCATGACTGTTAAGCTCGAGTTACTTAAAGGAATTTCACGAGCACTGAGTACAGGCACCATGACTTCTTCATCCCGACCTGCTGACAGACATCTAGGCTGGTTCCACCCCTGTGAGGAGAGCTTCAGTAGCCTGACACACATGCACCTCTAAGCTTAGGATCACTGGACACAGAACAAAGCTTCAGCATTTCTTGAGAAATTACTCTGCTTCTCAAACACGTTTGAAAGTCTGAAGGCCAGTTTCTCTTCAGAGAGCTTCTCAGAGCCCTTCCTCATGCCTTCATCCAGGACTGTCCCTCAGGTCACCCGCATGGCTGCTGAACTCTCAGAGCCATTACTTTTCTTCAGTCCAGCTCTTCTCTGCCCTCTATTACACCTTTTTAAAGATCGGTGTGTGCTCTCTCTTCCCTCTGTGGATTTTTTTTTTTAAAAGAGATAAAGACTGGGCGTGGTGGTGCACACCTTTAATCCCAGCATTTGGGAGGCAGAGGCAGGTGGATCTTTGAATCCAAGCCAACCTGGTCTTCACAGCAAGTTCGAGGTCATTCTGGTCTACACAGTAAGACCCTGTCTAAAAAGAACAAAGATACCAAAGGACGAAAGGGACTATTGTAGTTGGGTTTTTCTAAAAATTTTTTGGCTCTTTGTTCTTTTGGGGGGCCCACCACTCAGCTCCCAAATAAATACACACAAGGAGGCTTATTCTTTCTTATAAATGCCTGGCCTTAGCTTGGCTTGTTTCTAGCCAGCTTTTCTTAAATTAATCTGTTATCTTTTGCCTCTGGGTTTATATCTTTCTCTATTTCTGTATACCTCTCTTTACTTCTTACTTCACAGCTTGTTGTATAGATGGGTGGCTGGTCCATGGAGTCCTCTTCCTTCTCATGATCTCTTCCAGATTTCTCCTATTTATTCTCTCTGCCTACCAGCCCCACCCATTCTTTCTCCTTGCTATTGGCTATTCAGCTCTTTATTAGACCAATCAGGTGTTTTAGACAGGCAAAGAATCACAGCTTCACAGAGCTAAACAAATGCAATATAAAAGAAAGCAACACAACTTGGCATCATTAAGCAAATGTTCCTCAGGATAAATGAGTGTAACACACCTTAAACTAATATTCCACACCAGACTCTGTCAGGAGAGGACCAGTAGGAGCAGGGAGGACAAGAGAGGATGTCAGGGGTGGTAAATACGATAGAAGTGTATCGCATGCATGTATGAAAACCTCACAAGGAAACTCTGTTTGTTCACTTAATACATACCAGTCTTTAGAAAGGAAAAATGGCAGGGGCTGGAGAGATGGCTCAGTGGTTAAGAGCACTGACTGTTCTTCCAGAAGGCCTAAGTTCAATTCCCAGCAACCACATGGTGACTCACAACCCCCTTGAATGAGATCTGGTGCCCTCTGCTGGCGTGCAGGCAGAAGACTGTATAGACTGTATACATAATAAATTTTAAAAAAAGAAAGAAAGGAAAAATGGCGAGTGGGACATCCCCCCCCCCCAAGACAGGGTTTCTCTGTGTAGCTTTGGAGCCTCTCCTGGCACTCGCTCTGTAGACCAGGCTGGCCTCAAACTCACAGAGATCCGCCTGCCTCTGCCTCCCTACAGGTGTGAGCCACCAATGCCCGGCGAGTGGGACATTCTTCTGTCTACACAATCCGGTCAACGGTCCAACAACCCTGATGAGGTCAGTGTGAACTTCTTCCTGGGACATGCACCACCTGCCTTCCTCCAGCCCTCCCTTCTCCCCCTACACTGGTTTCAAGCTTGTGAGGCCACAGGTTCCTGCCTCAGCCTTCCACTCTTGAGGCATCACCACACTCGTGCATTATTTTTTCTAAAATCTTTTATAATTTGGAACTCACTCTGTAGACCAAGCTGTCATTGAGCTCACTGAGATCCACCTGGCTCTGCCTCCTGAGTGCTGGCAGGTGGATCTCTGTGAATTCAAGGCCAGTCTGATTTACAAAGTGAGTTCCAGGACTGCCGCTGTTACACAGAGATGTCTGTCTTCAAAAAAACAAAAGAAATATGTTGTTCATAGTCAGACATAGAGGCAGGCAAAACACCCATACAGATAAAAATAAATTAGATTAAAAACTAAAAATATTCTCCATTGATTCCTCACTCCTACACTTTCTTCCTAATCTTTTTTACTTAAACTATTTTTACATAATTATATACAAGTAATATAATTCTCTAGATACTTGTCTTATACAGTACTTATTTACATATATGGTACACTTTGTGCTGGCTAGTTTTATGTCAACTTGACACAAGCTAGGCTCATCAGAGAGGAGGGATCCTCAATTGAGAAAAATGCCTCCATGAGATGAGGTTGCATAGTCTTAAAAAATAAACAAAAAGATGAGGTTGTGGGCAAGCCTATACGGCAGTTTCTTAATTAGTGATCGACTGGGGAGGGCCCAGATTATTGTGGGTGGGGCCATCCCTGGGCTGGTGGGTCCTGGGCTCTATAAGAAAGCAGGCTGGGCAAGCCATAAGCAGCACCCTCCATGGCCTCTGGGTCAGCTCCTGCCTGCCAGTTCCTGTCCGGACTCCTCCACTGATGCACAGCAATGTGGACTTGTGACCAAATTAACCCTTTCCTCCCCAAGGTGCTTTGGTCACAGTGTCACATCACAACAGTGATAATCCTGATTAAGAAACTTACATTATTTAAAGTCAAGGATTCTGTGATTTCAAAGAAAAAGTCTGGAAACTGCATTGCCCTGCATACCAACTCACCGACAGAACCACAGCCCTCACAGTGCACACCAACTCACCGACACAGTCGCAGCACTCGTCCCACAGGGTCCCCAGGCACAGCATGCACTCCTTACAGCAGGGGCAGCTTCCTTCTCCAGGCCGGCACTGGCAGAGCTCCTGAAAATAAGACAGAATTTAAGTGCAAATCCCAAGGATTAGAGATATCTAAAACTCTCTGAGCAAAGGAATAACCCACAGTGTTTACATTTATAAAAATTTATTCCTACCCGGGCAGTGGTGGTGCATGCCTTTAATCCCAGCACTCGGGAGGCAGAGGCAGGCGGATGGATCTCTGTGAGTTCGAGGCCAGCCTGGTTTACAAAGCTACACAGAGAAACCCTGTCTCAAAAAAA